TAAGAGGGTTATGGTTTCTGCGCTGATGACAACTAATTTATTCACTTTATATCTTCAAGACGTAAATCGTATGCACATCACTGCCTGTTACTGTATTTGGGTGCTTAGTTGCAAAACTTAATTGTAAACTTTTCAGATCATGATTATGTTTTAACTGACTGAAGTTATGATTACTGACTTTATATATTTGAATGTGTATTTTCATCCCGGCCCGGGACGATAGACTTGATATCATTACGTCATCGCGAATGACGTCATTACGTTAGGGCGTAAAAGAACCGATGAACCGGTTTTTTGAACCGGTTCATTGAAACGAACTGTCCGAAAGAACCGGTTTGCGGAAAAGAACCAGACTTCCCATCACTAGTGACTAATGCCTTACACACCGTGTCTACACCGGACGCGAGTGGCGCGGCGCGGCATGACAAAATACTATAGAACTCATTATAATCAGTGATGCAGCGGCGCAACACGACAAATCCCCGACAGTAAACTGCTGCTGCATTCTATTTATGACGTGCTGACACAAATTTCAAATGATTTTGAACGGTCGCTTTGTTGAGTCCAGTGTAGACAGACTTTAGCTGTTGCGGCGCGGCGCGACATGACGCGTCTGGTGTAGACACAGCGTTACAGTTTTTTGCAAAACGTGATTTTCAAAGTGAAGTAGCTTCTATTATTTTGTTTACCTCATCAGAAGCTCGTGCAGTGTTGGTTGCTTGGTAACAGATCTGAGAGTGGATTGTCGAGCTTGATAATGCAATGTAAGATTTCCTAACTAGAGATAAGATACGATTTTGTAAGATAGGATAAGAATCCCAAATCAAGTTAAGATTTGCTTCTGTAATACGAATTTCTGAAAAATCCTAATTTAACATATCACATCTTAAGTTAAGACCTAAGATAAGACATTTTCTGTAATACGCCCCCAGGGCATACCTGTCAACATTTGGGTCCCAAAATACGGGAGACTGGGGGGGTGCTTGGGGTTGGGACGGGGCAATTATATTTAAAGTATCAATTATTATATCATAATATTATTATATTCATTTAAACAATTATTATCAAACAATTATTTAAACTGCGTGTTTTCTGCGTAAAAATAAGGGTCATTTTTAGCTTTGGACTAAAACAAATCTTCATTCTTTCACTTTTCGCCAGGAATATAGCCATTTCCCCAGTAACCGCAGTAAACAAAGCAGCGCAGCACCTGATTTTGCAACTTGCAGCGCTCATATTTAATCAATGAATCCATAGCCTTTTGAAGTGTAAGCTATATCTCAATTTGCATGCATATTTGTTTTTTCCACCGGAGCACCACCTGAGTCTTCTCCTCCCATCCCATTTCTACCAGTGATCCTTTCCTTCCCGAGGTAGTCATCACTGTTGTAGGTTGCCAAGTTGAGGGGACAAATGGGTTGAAATTTGTATGTGTCGATTTTGTGAGAAGGATGCATTTCATACAAGATCTGGCAACTGGACAACCTTGGAATTTGTTGACGTGATTATTCATAGAATGACGTTTGGGCCATACAAATTACGGGAGTTTTACCGGAGGTGAATGTAGCAAACATATAAAATACGCCCAGTGGGATTTTTTTATAGAAAGATTAAAAATCCAGGAAAATATTTAAACGGGATGATAGCGGGATAGAATGGTAAAATACGGGAGAATCCCGAGAAAAACAGGAGGGTTGACAGGTATGCCCCAGGGTCACATATAGGCATTGTTTATAATTAAATTATTTCATAGAAACCCACTTTTAGAAATAACTGAAGACTTTTAAGAGAAAAAAAAATTGTCATACATTGTTGTTGCATTGTGTCATGTAGTCTTTTTATCAGTAGTGAATCCATAACTTTTATTAGGTAAGATAGCTTTTAGATTAAATTTTTTTATCGGGAAAAAAAAAAAACTTGCACTCTGCACGACTGATTCAAAAGCTCTCAGTTGAGACATTAGACATTATAAAGATGATTCAATTTGGCAACTTTTATAATAAAAATACTGAATCCAGTTCCATTTACAGTAATTAAAACAATAAATTCCATACATTAAATATGGTTCAAAACTAAATCACGGCCCTTAAAATCTTCCTCAGTTCTAACCAAAGGAAGAATCTATAAAACAAAGCAACAACAAAGGCATGCTACCACTGACGTTTGATTTAGCTAAGATGAGAAGCCATTGCCTCAACCCTCAAATACCCGAGGCACTCAGTGGCCGGCCTATCAACTAAAACCTCACCTTCTAATCTCTTCGACGACAAGGTCACATTTTCTACACTTAAGTTTTTACTGTACACCCTTGCAGGATGGAAGAGACAAATGTGAACAAGAACACAACAACTGCACCACTGTGAGTGTGTTAAAGGGTGTCCCATTTTTCCAGGTTATCTCAAAAGGGTCTCTTGTATCGTCACAACACAGGAAACTCTTATCTGCAATCTATCTGTCATTCAGTTTGGGCGAATCGGCACCCTCCTCATCTTCGTCTTTGTCATCTTTTGCCCCGGTCAGTCGTTGTCGGGCAAAGTCCTCGAAGATGATGTCATCGTCACTAGGGACAAACAATTAGAGAAACATTCATCAGTTGTTGCGTTTCCCTGAATGCATTTTTGTGTAGTGCATTACAAGCTGTTATTTTTTCTTATAGACAAGAAGTTGACAAAGTACAGACAGATAAGCAGTGAGCAATCATTACTGTTTTTGACATTTCATATCTTTTTTTTTTTTCCTCTTCAATTAGCTTTGGTAAAAAATTAGTGCTGGGCAAGGATTAATCGCGATTAATCGCATCCAAAATAAAAGTTTTTGTTTATATAATATATGTGTGTATACTGTGTATATTTATTATGTATGTATAAAGTGAAAATATGTATGTGTATATATATTCATAATATTTATTTTATATAAATATATTTATTATATAAACATAACATATTTTTCTTAAATATATACATGCATGTGTGTGTATTTATATACATAATAAATATACACAGTACACACACATATATTATGTACACAAAAACTTTTATTTTGGAAGCGATTAATCGCGATTAATTGTTGCCCAGCACTAGTAAAAATCAAACAAAGAGATTTTTTTTGTAAAGAACCGGAATCACTTCTTGGCATAGAATCTGAACCAGAATCAGGACCGTTTCTTGCGATTCCTCTCCCTCAGTTAGATTAGGTTTCACTACAAATTGAATTTTCAGCATTATTATTCCAGTCTTCAATGTCACATGATCCTTCAGAAATCATTCTAATGCCGATTCGGTGCCCAAGAAACATTTCTTATCCTTATCAATGCTCCATTGTAATACACTTGCAAAACATTTTCTGAAAGATCATGTGACACTAAACATGAGTAATGCAGCAGAAAATTCTGCTTTGCATCACATGTATAAATGACACTATACAGAATTCAATCAGAAAACAGCTATTTTAAACTGTAATAATATTTTATAAAAAAATAATTTCATGATAAAAAAAATAATTCCAAACTTATGACAGGTAGTGTACATGAATGACAGAATTGTTGAATAAACAAACAAACACAGAAGAATTACATGTAACTATGTATAACCACAAGTTTAGTAGGTTAAAGTCCAATTACACCATGGAAAAGACTTTCACTTACTTTGTGTCAAATTCAATAAGGTTTGTGTCAATGAGGGCATCATTTTCTGGAGCTAAAACAAGAAGGTTGCAGAGAGAATATTGATTGGCACTCTGTAGGTAATTAGGTAATGGGTATAATATATATATATATATATATACCCAGGAACTCTGTGATGTTCCTGGGTGTGCACATCACAGAGGACCTCTCCTGGACTGACAACACCACAGCACTGACCAAGAAAGCACAGCAGCGACTCTACTTCCTCCGCAAACTGAGAAGAGCCAGAGCCCCAGCCCCCATCATGTGCACCTTCTACAGAGGCACCATCGAGAGCATTCTGACTAGCTGCATCACTGTGTGGTATGGCGCCTGCAACGCGTCCTGCC